CTTAATACTCAACTTTCAATACCTTGCTATACCAGTCAGGAAATTGTTTAAAGAAAACATACTGGCCAGGTATGATGGCTCACGCCTATAAATCTTAGCACTCTGAGGGGGCCAAAACAGATGGATTGCTTCAGCTCAGCAGTTTGAGACCAGCCTAAGTAAGAGTGAGATACTGTCTCTACTAATAATAGAAAAACTGAGACAAGAGGACTACTTGAGCCCAAGAGTTTGAGGTTGCCATGAGCTATATACCATGGCACTCTACCCAGGGTGACAAATGAGACTCTATCTCAAAAAAAGAAAAGAAAAAAAAACCTACTGACTTAAAAGGGATATAAAGTCTTTCATGTATCCTTTGTAGCAATGATTCATTTTGCTGACTAGCATAAGATATTAAGATACTTAAGAACAGAAATAGGGGGTTGTGATACAGAAAATTGTGAGTTTTCTATAACATCTAAGGTTCCAAGAGCTTAACTTTTTTCCTTCCATCAGAACACATAAAACATGTTTCCTTCCTGATCACTACTATTAACTTCAATAAGGACAGTAACTATACAATAATTATAAATTTTCTGACAAAAGCAAAAATATACGCATGTATTACATAGGCATATGTGTTAACTTAAAACTGGACTTTGAAATAAATCTCTATCAATTCAGTAGAAATAATCCCATAATTGTGTGATCAGAAAATTCCTCAAACATATTAAAAAGAAATTAACTGAGAATTTCAAATAGCATTATCCTTATTATAGTCAGACTATGTCCCAAGTCATTAAAACCTATACCTTTTTCCTTTAGTTCTTGGGGTTTTTCCCAGGTTGATTCTAATGTTCTATTATTATAATAATATGTCTTCCCATCTGCTGTTTTATATTCAGTCCATTCAGAAACTGTTGTTGCTCCAGCTAAGGTAGCAGGTGAAGCTGCAATAGCAACCTGGGGATGTATCATGGGTACAATAGGAGGTGCCATTCCTGGCAATACACCTATAAAGAGAATAATCAAAAATTAGATCCAAGTACTCAAACTGCAATACAAATTAAAACTCTAAAATATGGGCTAAATCTATGAAATATTAATATATGAATGGACCAGTTGGAACAAAAACAAATCATATAAAAGATGGTTTAAATATTACTTAATTCTATTACCCTAGTTTTTTAGTTCTAATGCCTAAATGCAACTTGACACAGAAAAAGTGCCCTAACAACCATCAGAAATTTGGGTCTACATGACAAAGTCTTAACATGATAAATTATAAAAATCATGGTATGTTCTCTACTTATGAATAGAAACATATATTTATAAAAATAGTTTCTCAAATTCTAATGAAATCAAGACAACATATTTACTGAGCTTACTGCTTGAGGGAAAATTATTTTCTTGTTGTAAGATACCTAAAAGGATATGAATAAAATTCTCAGTTTTAAAGCAAAATAAGTTTATCAAATCTAAATTATTAAATCAGATACACTATAATCTCTGTCAATTTACTCTTTTCCTAAAAGAAAGCAAAGCTGCTTCTACTTTATAGAAGACAAGCCAAAATTTTTATAAGACAGCTAAATCAGCTGGTACTATATAAATAAGGATACATGGATCAAAATTGGGAGAAAAAATCCCCAAATCCTATACTAGAACTCGAGTTTCAGGTAATTATCTTTTTTTCAGTAACTTTAAAATGTAAACATATACTATACACACAAATAATTACATACATATACTCACTAGCATGCAAGTATAATCACATCACTTTACACATGGAAATGATTTTTTATATTTAACTTAAAAACACACACCAAAAATAAAATTAAATGTTATGATTATGAGAATGAAGTTGTTTACACTTATTACATAAATTAAGATATAAAGTGATCTGACCTTTTTGCTTTTGTGAACCAAAGAAGCTAATTCTATAGGCGTTTGGGAAAATTAAGTGTTGGCCAAATATGACAACTGCATTTATACTGCTCATTAAAAAGAAAATTATAAAAGAATTCACTCACTTGGGCAAAAGAATAAATAATAAAAGGATAAACAACAACATTCACTACCATGCCAACTTACAGACAAAACAAACTAAGATGGTTTTAAAAATTACCGGTCTTGGTGGTAGCGACTGTCTTTACATACGGGCAGCTGACTATTTGCATCATTGCTACACCTGTAAAATGGATAAGCAAGCATATGTTGGAAAGCTGCCATTGTATGTCGGCTACCACTGGGATTCAGGGAAATAATTTACCACTACAATTTAGAATGCTATTTCCAATGAAAAACACCAAGAATCGAGTAAATTTCTTTTTGTTTGACATTCTGTGGGAAGTAGTGCCAAATCCAATGATACTTATTTTAAATGATAGCATCAAATTACCTTTTTATCAAGCCAGCTCTGCTAATACTTGAAGGAGTCTCTTTAAATTCACTTTAAATTCAAGAAAACAAAGCCCCTTCACTACATATATGTAAAGAGTTCTCACGAGGGACATTTTCCTACAGGACATCAAACTCATACTGCTGTTGCTTAGAGGCCAGAAAGGCAGATGCAGCATGACACTGACAAGACGCTTTCTCTATTTTCTGCTAAGGTAAAGCTAAGTGCAGGAGCTGAGGCATGGAGCACTACCATGCCAAAGCAGAAAAGGATGAAGAGGGTGAGAGAGATAGTAAGATAGGAGACGGATCCAAATATTGCACTGCAAATAATATTTTAAATAAAAGAAAAGGCAAAGAAGAGGAGGGTAGTATTCAATTAATGACAAAACATCCATCCTTAGTGTCTCCTCTCCAGACTCTCAGGGGCTTAGAACAGCATGGAGGCAGAATAAAACATGAAGAGACACAGGGCCTCTTTAATATCATTCATGACTATATGGGCTGATGGCTACAGAAACCTCTATAATTTAAGCTGGATAAAGAAGTAGCACTTGAATTAAAGAATGAAAATTACGTACAGTTCTTAGAAGAATGAAGGTTCATCATGATTCACTACAATGATGATTAAAAAAGGAAATGAAAGGAAAAGCTGGAAAACTAAGACTGATTAAGGAAACTCAAAATTAAGTGACCTTTAAATTTTTTTAAACAGAAAAGGCTAAAGTCTGAAGCAAAGTATAGGGGAAATAATTTCTATATTTTCAGCTGAAAAACTTAGTTTAGTACCTATAAAAATTATAAATTATAACAATAAACTATTTTCCCCACTAATGTACAGGAAAAGAAATTTCTCCTAACCGGAAAACTAAAATTTGTATACAATGTAACCATGTTCACACACACACACACACACAAAAATACTGCCAATTTCTGAAAAGTACCTTTAATTTTTTAATTGCTATCTTATATACATATAAATATTAAAACTATACTTCCTATGAACTCTTAAAACTAAAATAAAAAGACTGAATCACAGTGGCTCATGCCTGTAATCCTAGCACTTTGAGAGGCCAAGGCGGGAGGATTGCTTGCAGTCAATTCAAACCAGCCTACTGAGCAAGAGTAAGACAGTGATCTCTACTAAAAATAGAAAAATTAGGCTCGGTGTGGTAGCTCAAATAACTAAGGCACCAGCCATATACACCAGAGCTAGAGGGTTTAAATCCAGCCCAGGCCTGCCAAACAATAATGACAACTACAACCAAGAAATAGGTTGTGGCGGGTACCTGTAGTTACAGCTTCTTGGGAGATTGAGGCAAGAGAATTGCTTAAGCCCAGGAGGTGGAGGTTGCTGTGAGCTGTGATGCCACAGCACTCTACCTAGGGTGACAGCTTGAGGCTCTGTTTCAAAAAAAAAAAAAAATAGAAAAATTATAGTAGTCCCAGCTGACTGAGAGGCTGAGGAAGCAGGAGGATCGCTTGAGCCCAGAAGTTTCAGAGTGCAGTAACCTATGACACCACTGCACTCTAGCCCAGGCAATAGAGCAAGACTCTAATCTCAAAACAAAACAAAACAAAAAATACCCGAATCATAAAAGTATGTTGAGTAAAGTTTTATGTGTAGTTTTATTTTCCCTACTATGGAAAGAAAGCAATGGAAATTTCTGGTTAAAGAAGTTACAGCATGTAGTAAGTTTAAGTTAGTGTAAATGCTGCCATCTGCAGGATCACCAGCCCTATTAAAGATAGCACTAGAAACTCAATTTATAAGAACATGTGAACTTGACACGCAGAGACTGTTCTCCAAAACCATCCTCCAATAAATAATTTTAACTATACAACTTGAACAGAATAAAATTCTATCTACTCATATTTAAGCTTAACTGCTGTTGTCAAACAACTGCACCATTACAGAACACTACTTGACTATCAAAATACACATAATCAAAGTTCATGTTTTTTCTCAGTTTAAAAAGATAAACTTTGCACTTGATTCCTGTATTTTATCTAATTCTTCTATGCCTTCCTTTCCTTTTGTTCATGACTATCCCTTCCTTAATCATTCTTAGTAGAACCAGACGATGCCACTGCAAATAGAATTTAAGCCTCCAACACAAATTACATACAAATCCTTCCTGTTCACCATATTGCTGAGTTGAAATAGAGAGGGAAAAACAGAGAGATCTCATTATACATATAACCAAAGATGATTTGTAAAGTAGAAAAGCAAGTTGTCTTTGCTTTGTCTATTTTCCATGCCTATTAGTATCAGAAATGCCTTAATATATAAACACATACTAACATCACTTTTTCTAAGACAATAGGGTCCGTGTCCAAATAATCTTGGTATCTTAGATAAAATCTGAACATACTATCCAATTCAAGTTCTCTTCCAACTGATCTATAAAATGTCACTAATGGTTGGTATTTATTGAATACCTTTTACTGCCAAACCTCATAGATACCACCTTATTTGGTGACCCACATGGTCACCACGACCTGTCCTTGTTAATAATGGGGCAAGGATCAGGGGAGACCATAACATCAAAATACAGCTATAGTTGGAAGGATTTTATTGTAAGAGAAATAGAAATGAATTTTGCTACTCTATTAACTTTCACCCATTGCTCCTAGTAAGAACCTCTAAAGAAAAGTAAAGTCCTTAAAATGAAAGCCTTTGAAAATACTTTGACAACATTATCATGCTACCTCTCAGTCTTCTCTCTGGAGAATTAACAACGCCAGTTTCTTTAGAGCGCTCACAATACAGGCTTTGGTCTATACTGTCCTCAACTCCAAACGCAGACAAAAACATGCAAAAAGAAGATGTGACAAAATATCAAGCTACTCTCCATTTACCACTTAGTTCTCTAGAAAAATGGCACTTATTTTCCTTAGAAAATACCCAGCTGCTTGTCTTAAATTTAATTTAGAAGAAGAACAAGCCCTAATATTGAAGAAAACATTTTTGCTTTTCTTATTTTTAAACTGAGTTTCTTTTTTTTTTTAGAGACAGTCTCACTTTATCGCCCTCCGTAGAGTGCCGTGACTCACAGCTCACAGCAACCTCCAACTCTTGGGCTTAGGCAATTCTCTGGTGTCCACCTCCCGAGTAGCTGGGACTACAGGCGCCCGCCACAACGCCAGGCTATTTTTTTGTTGCAGTTTAGTCAGGGCTGGTTAGAACCTGCCACCCTCGGTATATGGGGCCAACGCCCTACTTACTGAGCCACAGGCGCTGCCCTAAATTGAGTTTCTTAAACACCATATATTAATCATTTAATTATTTAACACTACATTAATAATGTGTGAAAAAAGTAAAATAAATGTGTGAAATGTTTTTCTTTTTTTTTAGAGACAGAGTCTTACTTTGTCACCCTCGGTAGAGTGCCATGGCATCACACAGCTCACAGCAACCTTCAACTCCGGGGTTTAGGCAATTCTCTTGCCTCAGCCTCCTAAGTAGCTGGGCCTATAGGGGACCACCACAATGCCCAGCTAATTTTTGTTGCAGTTTGGCCAGGGCCGGGTTTGAACCCTCCACCCTTGGTATATGGGGCTGGTGCCCTACCCACTGAGCCACAGGTACCACCTGTGAAATGTTTTTCTACCAAATCAATAAACAACAAAAACTAATTCTTGAAATATGTCTTTCTCGCTATGGTGTAGGTGAAAGTATCCTTTTCAAAAGGGTTACAAGGAAAAAAACAATCAGAACAATAACGATAATTAAGATATGTGCGAATCTAAGAAATAGCTGTATTATAACAATATTCTCACACAGAAAGTAGTGATAAACTGGCAATAAAAAACATGGGCAGAATATGAAACAAGAGACAAAAGGTGGCTCGGCACCTGTGGCTCAAGCGGCTAAGGCGCCAGCCACATACACCTGAGCTGGCGGGTTCGAATCCAGCCCGGGCCCACTAAACAACAATGAGGGCTGCAACCAAAAAATAGCCAGGCGCTGTGGCGGGCACCTGTAGTCCCAGCTACTTGGGAGGCAGAGGCAGGAGAACCACTTGAGCCCAGGGGAGTTGGAGGTTGCCATGAGCTGTGATGCCTGATGTCACTCTACCAGGGTGACAGCTTGAGGCTCTATCTCAAAAAAAAAAAAAAAAACAAAAGGCCTAGGTTCTATTCATCTTTACTACAAACTAGCCTGGGAACTTGACCTCTCTAAGTTATCAATGTTTTCAACTGTAATACAGGAGAATGAGCCATGGATAGAGGATTAAATGTGTCTGACGACTGCAAATACATTCAAATTTAGAATGCCCAACACTGTCAATGTTTAATCCCTACAGTAAGAATTCAACTCCATAATCTGTTAAGTCCTTCTCTAATTTTAATGATTTGTCTTAAGTCAGTAAAACACATGAACTGATTTGATGCATGTTATGCTTTACATCAAAACTGTTACAAGGAACGGTCTCTATTCTATATGAAGTTTTTAATAGATAAGTAACTCACATTTGCTTCCCAGCATTAATAGTTACTAAGGGTTTGATATCTGAATCTGGAGGACACAGGCTCAAATCCTAACATCATCACTTATTAGCCGTTGGGTAAGTAATTTAATCTGTCTGTGTACCTACTTCACACGATGGTTAAGAAAATTAAAGGAGTTACACATGTAAAAGTGCTTAGCACAGGGCACTGTATATAAATCATTAAACTTGAGTTAGCTATTATGACTTGTAATTTCTGAACTTCATAGACTCAATCCCTTAAAATAATGCATATGGAACACATTTACACGAAAAGATAATTATTTTTAATTCAATGAAGCCATTAGCCAAAATAAGTGTAGCTTTAAATGTGACTCTAATTTTAAGACATGTAAACAACAACAAAAAAAGGACATTTACCAAAAACTTAAGAGAAAATATTGCAGTTAGCCATGAATCTTTCAAAAACATTTTGAGCAGGTGAGATTCAAGGCAAATTTCAAACACAACAGACACATGAGAACAAACTGACAATATGGAAACATAGCTGGAAAGACCATTATCATCTGTTGGTTTACCTGGAAGTGGAATTGGCATGCCAGGAAGGGGAACACGGAACGGAGGTACCATTACTGGTGGAAAAGCAGGAATTGCTGCTGCTGGCTGAGGTACTGAATGAGGAACAGCAGGAGGTAACGTCTGGGGATGCGGCTGGGGAACAGTTTGCACAGGTGTGGCTGTAGGACCAGGAGTTGAAACACTAACTGTAGGCGTGGCAACTGAAACAGCAGAACTTGGGGTCTGATCTTGTGTTGTGGGTGCTGATAAAAGATAAAAAACAAAACATGTATCACTCCTTCATAAACCACTTTAGTATATCCACTCATCATTCACTCATTCAGTAAATTATTTAGGGGACCATTCCATGCACTGCAAGAAATTTGTCAAAAGGTCTTGTCTGCAAGAGGCATGAAAATAGTTGAAACATAAAAAACAACTAAAATACAAAGTGAAATGGGATAAATGTATAGGAGTGTAAATTAAGACCCAATCAGTATTTACAAACGTGAGAGGAAACCCAAATTTTACACTGAGATGAGCCCTGAAAGACTGAGATTCGGGCAGTGCCTGTGGCTCAAGGAGTAGGGCGCTGGCCCCATATGCCGGAGGTGGTGGGTTCAAAACCGGCCCTGGCCAAAAACTGCAAAAAAAAAAAAAAAAGACTGAGATTCAACAAGGAAAATGGGGGAGTAAGAGAAATAAGCAAGTAGTGGGAAAAGTATGAGCAAAGGCAAGAGCAGAGAACAAAAAAGAAACTGTTTTAAAAAACATGAAGGCAAGTGGTTAACCAGCAAAACAGTAGGCATATCAACAAAACCAGTGAGCTAAGGCTGGAAAGGTAAGTCAGAGGCAGAAAACAGGAAGCCTTGAACAAAAGGCTAAGGAGTCTGTAGTTTACTCAGTAAAGAAAAAGTGGAACTTAGGCAAATGTGGAGAAAATGATCTAGAAGAATACATACCAAAACAGACTAACAGTAGGTATCTCTATGTATGCCTTTTACTTATTACTATATATGCTCCATTAGAGTATGAACTTTTTATAAGAAGGCATTCACACGTTATTTATGTGACTTCATGAAGCAAAGGGGGTGAACTAAGAGTTCAATATGGAAGAGGAATAATAATCAGTGTTCATTTGATGAATTAACCTGACAGATGCATAGAATGAAACAGAGGTGAGAAAATCAATTACAACATTACTAGAATTGTCCAAGCAAGGAAGAAGAAAGAGAAAAAGATATGGAAATAACTAATGACTGACTGGATATGGACTGAATGGAGTCAAAAACAAGGCAGGTTTCTCTATCATTATTTCAAAATTTTAAAGAAACTGTTTTAAATTGGGGTTTTCATGATGAGAGTGAGAGATCAGGAAAATGTGAAATTCAGAATAATTTGGGGTCTGCTAATATATTATTTTTAAATATAAAAAAAATTCTCATCCCCAGTAACTACATTTAAAACTAACTAAAAAGTAATCCATATTTTGTAATTTTAAAAATGTTTCAAATCTCACATTACAAAATATCTTTGTTATTTACATATAACACACCTAGTTGCAAAATAAAATTCATTTTGGAAATTCACTGGTAACAAATACTTCATCTTTTTTCTTAATGTAAAGAAAAAAAGTGTCAAACTACCCCTGTATAGGACTAAGAATGAAGTTACCCAATCAAATGAAATAAAGAGAGTACTTTCCCAATCTTTATGCCCATATTATTCCAGCAAAAGCACACTGTTTAATAGAAACCACCCAATAATCCATCTGACAACAAAATCTGTCAGTATCTTTTTCCAGCTTCTAATAATGAAAAACTCACTTAGGCTGAGAAGATGTGAGCAATTTCATACTCATTAATGAGGGACTCACCTTGGCTAAATAGACAGCAGGGCCAAACAAGTATCTTCAGCGGCCCAGGAATGAATTGTTGGTCTAGCATAGACCTAGCCTTAGGGTACAGTATCATATTAATATAATTTTATAACAGTGTGAAAAATACAAATTACATGCAACATTTGCCCAGTCCCATACATACACCATTTACCATTTGTAATCTACCATAATGGCTGAGAACTTATCTCTTCCCAACTTTCCTGAAAAGTAGGATTTCACCATCATTTTTCACAAACTTGCACAAAATAAATTTATGTTCAGCTGGGATTAAAATATAAATATTCTTATATTTCTTTTTAGTCCCATTTGCCCATAGATCTATGCTGCAGTTCATGGAACTATTTTAATATTATTATGACAGTATTCAGATAATTACTGAAATTATGATCCGAAGTAAGCTATTAAGGGTATCAAAGTTCAAGTAGAAAGGAACACTAATGGGGATGGCAAAAAGAACTGTATCCATTCCTCTTACTTTCAAGCACAGAGTTTTCTAAATTTAATTAGTGGGTATGAGTCATGAGAGGAAGGGATAAAAGGAATGAAAAAAATTATTTTTATTCATTTATTTTAGACAAAGTCTCACTTTGTTGCCCTCAGTAGAGTGCCGTGGTGTCATCATAGCTCTCAGCAACCTCAAGCTCTTGGGCTCAAGTGATTCTTTCTCTTGCCTCAACCTCTCAAGTAGCTGGGACTACAGGCGCCCACAGGCACCTGCCACAATACCCAGCTATTTTTAAGAGACAACGGTCGCTCTCTTGCTCAGGCTGGTCTCAAACTCCTGAGCTCAGTCAATCCAGCTGCCTCAGCTTTCCAGAATGCTAGGACTATAGATGTGAGCCACTGTGCCAGGCTAGAATAAAAAAAACTCAATGGGAAGCTAGAAGAATGGTATCTAAGACTTTAGTGGGTAAATTCCTGCTAACTCCATTTTTTAAAATAACTAATGAAGCACTAGGCCTCAGAATATACTAACACAGCCTCAGATCTTGACTACAAAAAACAAGTACTAAAACTACAATATGACAACAGTATGAAACTGAATTAAGTGAAACAAAAGCAAACATCAGAATACTCATGCATCAAAACTGATGTTTAAAAGCAGTAGAAAGAACACAGTTCTGCTATTTTGTTCCTAGAATAAAGGCCTCTCAATTACTAAAGGACAGTGCAAAAATGACAAATGGCATATTTTAATAGTTGATAATCACAAGACAGCTAGCCACGAAGCTTACTTACAGATCAGATTTCAGAAGTGGAATATATATAGGATGGTTAAAATATCTGACTACCTTCCTTAAGCAAAATAAAGTGCTACTATTTCTCTTTTCTAAGATGGTAGGGAAAAACACTGGAGCATCTCAGAGCCGCCACATGGAACTGCATTGCTTTTATTAATCTTCTCCCATTACCACTATAGGTAGCCAGAAAAACTGGCAGTTTTCTGCCTTGCCACACAGATTTTTGATGCACTAAGCCTATGAAAAGGTAAAGACCCTCAGGTGGCGCCTGTGGTTCAAAGGCGTAGGGCGCCGGCCCCATATGCCACAGGTGGCGGGTTCAAACCCAGCCCCGGCCAAAAAACACACATATACACACACACACACACACACAAAAGGCAAAAGACCCTCAATAAGCTAGCTAGTATGACTGTTATACTTCTACATCCAAAATCAACTCAGCTAGAAAACAGATTTGTAAAGTATTAGATCTATTTTCCTGTTTAGTACATTTTCCCCTCAACATGTCTAAAAAATATTAAATAGGGTCTTTAAAAATCATCTCCACATTACATGTACCTTACTTCTTCAATTATTTCTTATATGAATAAAATAAATTCAAGTTTGAATCCACTGTGATTAAATGTCTTTCATACACATTTTTTTTATACACTAACAACTCCCAAGTCCCTGAAGCTACCAGGAAAAAATACAGCAATCATTTTTCTCTTTATTCTTATCTATTATCTGGGAAGTAATACAAATTATAATTACCCTGTAAGGACAGTTATCTTCAGACCAATGCCATAACAAATAAATCAATAAAATTATTATTTAAATACTTGTGGCCCAGTCTTAGCCTGTAAAGTAAGTAGTAACATCCATATACAAAAAAAGAAGAGAAACTAAAGAGAGAAGAATAATACAGATATTAATGACAATCTTTTAAGCAAATTAGTAGATACATCTCTCTCTTCATTCCTGAAACTGGCTATTAATCGACTCTCATTTTTAAAAAAAAGATTTAAACTTTGGACCTCTGTGACTTTCTATCTGAAAGTTCTCTTGCCTTTGTGACTGTTTCTTCTATAACTCAATTCATATGCCTGCATCCTATTCTAGGACCTACCTACCTCTAAAAAAGTTTATGGAAAAGTTCCTAATACATATCCCTACTGTGTTTCCCCAAAAATAAGACCTACCCAAAAAATAAGCCCTAGCAGGATTTCTATGCATTTGTTAAATATAAGCCCTACCCCGATAATAAGACCTAATGATGGCCATGCACTTCAGTGTAGAGCGGTAAGGAAGACTGGAGTACCTTTTACCTGCCACAGCTCCTTTCTCCAAGCTGTTCCACTTGCACAGTGGCAGGCATCCTATTGCGCACGTGCGAACGGCTAGGGGAAAGGAGTTTACGAATCACTAGCACCAGCCCCACCAACAAGGTCGGCTCCCCCAGTCAGGTTCCAGAAGAAGATGACTTAACTGTATTTGAATAAATGTAGACTGTTGTATTATACTTAATAAAAATAAGACATCCCCTGAAAGTAAGCCCTAGTGTGTCTTCTTGAGAAAAAATAAATATAACAGACAGTGTCTTATGTTTGGGGAAACACGGTAGTACCAACACTACCCAAAAACAGCACCAAAAAAACTTCCAAAATACTACATTTCTTGTCCCACCCATGTGTCTGATTCTTAAGATCCTTCATAAGCTGGTCTCACTCTTAACTAAATCTATTAACCAGTATAAACCCTCTCACCTAAATGAGTTTCCTAGCAACCCCATAAACTGCATTTATCCTCATTTCCTGACCTTCATTTCGTTTGTCCTACCTGAAAAAATTTTCCTTACTTTTAAACCTACTCAAAACCTACTCCATATTCTTCATGATAAGCCTTAATACCTGTGTGGTCCACCCACTTATCTCTCCAATTCTTACATCATTTATTTGCACACTATTCTCTAGTAGTAGTTTCCAGCATTGTTCTTACCTCCTCAATTAGAAAAATTAAAAACTCTGTAAGGTATGGACCAAAACTTATATTTACTTGGCAAACTCCACAACACCCAGCATTACTGTTGGCCAAGCTGAAAAGCTAACCTACACTCACTCAGTTTAGTTTCATGAACTGCAACTGAGCAAATCATTTCTTCCACTAATGTAAATTTCTATTTTTCTCTAACTCAAAAGATTTTTATGTCAAAAATGTATTTTCAGTAACAACAAAGATAATACCAGAAACACTAGGATCATTTTGAAATGCAGCCCCTACTTGTTCGTTTCTTAGCTCCTAATGAAAACACATGCCGGCTGATACTCACTTGATACTGTCTGTACAACTGAAGTGGCAGTTGTTGTGGTAGAAGTGGTGGAGGAAGGGGTGGATGACGATGTTGAAGTGGATACTGCAGATGCTGGGCTACTGGTCGTAGGGGTGGAAGCTCCAACTGCTTGTGCTTGTACTTGCGCCTGGACCTGGGCCTGTGCTTGGGCCTGGGCCTGGGCTTGAGCCTGAGCCTGAGCCTGGGCTTGGGCCTGGGCCTGAGCTTGTGCCTGTGCCTGTGCTTGCGCCTGAGCCTGGGCCTGGGCCTGGGCCTGAGCCTGAGCCTGGGCCTGAGCCTGAGCCTGGGCTTGGGCCTGGGCCTGGGCCTGGGCCTGTGCTTGGGCCTGGGCCTGCGCTTGGGCTTGGGCTTGAGCCTGCGCCTGGGCTTGAGCCTGCGCCTGGGCTTGAGCCTGAACCTGCGCCTGGGCTGCAAGCATAGGTGTCAGTTCTGATTGCTGAATAACCTTAACTCCATCTGGCTTGGTCCATGCAGATTCACGTGTCCGAGCATTGTAATAATAAACCTGCAGAGGAAGCAAAAGCATTAGGTATCACAAAATCTGTCAATTGGTTATTAAAAACAATGCAAGTGTATTTTCTCTTAAAAGCTATTTAAAAATAACTTTACAAAAAACAAAGTATGGCTCGATGCCTGTGGCTCAAGTGGCTAAGGCGCCAGCCACATACACCTGAGCTGGCGGGTTCGAATCCAGCTTGGGCCCACTAAACAACAATGAGGGCTGCAACCAAAAAATAGCCGGATGCTGTGGGGGGGCACCTGTAGTCCCAGCTACTTGGGAGGCGGAGGCAGGAGAATCACTTGAGCCCACGAGTTGGAGGTTGCTGTGATGACACAGCACTCTACCCAGGGCGACAGCTTGAGGCTCTGTCTCAAAAAAAAAAAAGTAAGTACTGGATATCAAAATAGGGATGTAGGTAATTCTGTCAGATCCTCCAATTTTTTGTAATGAGCACATCATATTTTTCAACACAAAAAAGAGAAAACCAATGTTATATTTTATGCAGAAAGTTAACATAGCAAGCCTGAAACTACTGTCCTTAGAAAGCCTGGCTTAGAAAGCTGGCCTTTGGCTGAAGTCTAGGAACTTGGATTTCAAGAGGGTCACAAGCATTCCCTCACTGGTAAGAATGGCTCACTATGCCTAACCATTTTAGGCAACCAAGGCAGTTTATACTGAACATGTGCTTTCCTTCTGGGAGTCTGGAATTTCAGTTATATGCTAGGCAGATGGTACCTATATGACCAGAAGCTTCCAGAAGCACAGGTAAATGTATCTTAGCACTCCAGACAACTTTAATCTGCACAAAGTCCAAGCTAGACAGCTTTTCCTGGAGACCTTCCCCAACCACTGCTTACCTAACAAAGCTCTTTCTTTCTTTCTTTTTTTTTTTTTTAGAAGACAGAGTCTTAAGCTGTTGCCCTGGGTAGTGCCGTGGCATCCTAGCTCACAGCAACCTCCAACTCTTGGGCTCTAGTTATCCTCTTGCCTCAGTTTTTCTATTTTTAGTAGAGACAGAGTCTTGCTTTTGCTCAGGCTGGTCTCGAACTCCTGAGCTCAAGCTATCTACCCACCTCGGCCTCCCAGAGTGCTAGTATTACAGATGTGAGCCACTATGCCTGGTTCCAAGGCTCATTCTTAATTGACAAGGATACCATTGATCTCAACCTGCCAGAACTCTTAACTTTTATTTCTCTGTCACCAAAGAGATAACAATTTCAGGATATTTTTACAATTTACCTTCCCATCTGGAGTTTTATTTTCAACCCATATCTCTTCGGTAGGAGGCAGTGCTGGAGTACCAGGTGCAGTCACAGGAGGCATTCCTGGTGGAAACATCATACCGGGAGGGGGAGGCATGGTTCCCATAGGTGGAGGCATGAAAGGTGGTCTCTGTTAAGTCACAAGAAATAGTAATGGTCACTTGTAATTACCTTTTTTCCTTCAAATTATTACTGAATTCTATCCAAAAATAAAGCACTATAAGAAACTAGTTTTATAAGTCTATTCAAATACATTTACTGGTATCTGTTGTTAGAACAAAATTTCCTCCAACAAAAATGATTACCAAACAGACTAGAAGAAAATATACCAAAAGAACAGTAGTTAACTTTGGGTTACGGCACTGTGGGTAAATTTTGCTTTCTCCTATACATTTAATCTACATTTTTCACACAGAGAGGACACCAGATTACTCTTCTTCAAAACAAATTGACTTTTTTACATCCTGTTATAACACTGGGTATACTAATGGTTCCCTAAAATTCACATTAGGTAGCAACCATAAGAGAAACATTATTTCACAAAATAACACAGAAATAACCAAAAAAGAAAAATCAGACATACTTAACCCTTCGTTCTCTTTTCCTACCAAAACACACAAACACACAAGCTAGGAATAATATTCACCATCTTCTATTTTCCATATAATATTAATATAGTTCATCAAAGGCACATTAATCAATAAGCTTAAAAAATACAATAAAATTATCCATTCTACTTATTAATAGAAAATTAGAACTAAACTTAGTATATACTTCAATGTTTTTAATCTCCCAAAGCCATTACTAATTTGATCCTAATTCAAATAATTTCTTCATTCTTATTCAATATGAATGCTAAACAATGCAAGACCCCAAATCAAACAATTTAACTCTAATACCTATATCCTACTTACTAAAGCAAAAAGTGGTCCGCCTTTTTAGCAGAAACACCCAATCTCTTTAATACAGGGATCTATTTATTGTGCATAAAAAAAAAAATCAAAATCAAAAATGAATCAGTATGCATTTTTTTTTTTTTTTTGCAGTTTTTGGCCGGGGTTGGGTTTGAACCTGCCACCTCCAGCATATGGAGCTAGCACCCTACTCCTTTAAGCCACGGCGCTGCCCCTATGACTTTTTAGAACAGATTTTGAACACAGATTAAAAAGATGTCCTCATAAGTAACATTAAAATTCAATTATCCAAAGCATCTTAATCTGGATAACAGAATTAAAACTATGCCAATAATGTGAAACTATATTTCATTTTCCTAAAAAATTTTCTTTCACACACTGCAATTTTTTGGGGCAGTCAGTTTAGTGTCTTTCAAGTATTAGCACATAGATCAATGTTGTTATATAAAAAGTATTGACCTCAGGCAGGCACAGTGGCTCATACCTGTAATCCTAGCACTCTGGGAAGCTGAGGCAAGATACTTCCTTGAGCTCAGGAGTTACAGACCAGCTTGAGCAAGAGCAAGACCTCATCTCTACTAAAAATAGAGAAATGAGGCCAGGTGTGGTGGCTTACACCTATAATCCCAAGCACTCTGGGAGGCCAAGGTGGGTGATCACCTGAGTTCATGGGTTCAAGACCAGCCTGAGCAAGAGCAAGACCCTGCCTCTAAAATACCCAGGTGTTGTGACAGGCTCCAGTAGTCCCAGCTACTCAAGAGGCAAGAGGATCACGTGAGCCCAAGAGTTTGAGGTTGCTGTGAGCTATGACACCACTCTACCAAGGGGGACAAAGTGAGACTCTGTCTCAATGAAAAGAAAAAAAAGAAGAATCAGCCAGACATTGTGGTGGGTGCATGTGGTCCCAAGCTACTCAGGAGGCTGAGGCAGGAGGATTCCTTGAATCCAGGAGCTTGAGATTTCTATAAGCTAGGCTGACAGCACAGCACTCTTGCCAGACAACAGAGTGAGACTGTCTCAAAAATGAAAAACAAACACATAAAAAACCTACCTCAAATGTGTCTCATGTACCCTTAGCCAGAAATCACTTAGGTGTGATATAAATCTACATAGCCACATAATTGTTTAGCCAGACTAAGAAAGCACCACATTAGGAAGTATCCCATCACAATATTTGATACTATTGCCATCAGAGGGTTCCACTGGTCCATTACATTTTATAGTATTTTATAGTTTAAATTAGGTTTAACTATCAAAGGCACAAATTAGAACAAATTCATTCTTGATTATCTAAGCTAATGGAAGGTTGATAATACCACTCTGTATTTTATTTCAGAATTGTACAGATTTAACTAAGGAAACATAGATGCACATTCAAACAAAAATACAATCCCAAAAGTAAACATTTCAGAGGTGATGCGTTTATGACCTCACTTTAGACAGTAAGTCAGTCTAGATACACTTGAGAAGGATGTATGTCTCAGGTTAAATGACCAATGTTTCTATTTAAGGAAATTCCTTAATATATCTTTTTCTAAAATTGTAAGCCAACCTTATTTTCCCCTGAGAAAAGAGAAATTCAAATATAGTTATTGTGCTTACAATATGTGTTTGTTGTCACTGAAATTCAAATACAGTTATTGTGCTTACAGTATTGTTTGTTGTCACTTTCCAGATTCTATCCTAGGCATTATTTCTGGAGAGCAAAATTACTCAGGAATATATATACATAACTTCACTTCCCATAAAAAAGACGGATTACTAAAGTTAATTCACAAAAATAAAGATAGGTAAGAACTATTCTACTCAATCCTAGTTTTGTATGTATACTTTTATATCACCATCCAAATTCCTGCATTTCTATACTAATCACTACTACACTACTTTAGGAGTAACATGTTAGTTAATACATGGACATTTTCATTAGCTCAACCAATTTCCTATAAAGACCATAGTAGAACCTCGATAGTTAACCACCTCCCTACACTGATCATCTCAAAATGACTTAATTTTCACAGATCAGACATGTACCACATACACATAACAGGCCTAGCTGTTTATGTTGACCACCTCCATATGTTGACCAGTTTGTCAGTCTCATGGGTGGTCAACTTACAGATGTTCTACTTCATTCAGGAACACAAGTTTTTGTTTGTTTGGTTGGTTGGTTTGTTTTTTTTTTTTTTTTAGCAAGCCTGGGCTGGGTTCAAATCCACCAGCCCTGGTGCATGTCATCAGCACCGCCTTTCTTTTTTTTTTAGCAGAAGAACACAAGTTTTTAAGACAAAACCCATACATAATATTGGCAATGATGTCAACAAAGAAACAGCAACCTCTACATTCTTTACCTGGAGGTGTGGAGGGCCCATAGGTGGAGGTATCCCTCCTGGAGGAGGCATTGGTGGCATATTAGGATCAAAAGGAGGACGTCCAAAGGGGGGCCGAGGTGGTGGTGGAGGGCCTCTCATCATACCAAAAGGTGGGGGAGGTCGCATGAGAGGTGGTGGGCCTCGCATCACTGCATTTGGTGGGGGAGCCGGTCCTCGGAACCGCAAGGCCTGCTGTTGAGCCATCCTGTATGGGAAAGCAGTATATTTTTTCCTTGAAGTTACAAAAATGTGACAACTGATCTCCAATTATATCAAATTTAAAAGGTCTTTAAGTAGAGGTGGAGTTGGAAAGTCATCTTGCAGCCATCATGCTAAAAACTAGATCAATAAGAATGATCAATGGATGCCAAATCTAGGTGTAAATTTGGATGAGGATAGTCTTAAAATGGTTTTATAAATGCCTTATAAAAGGTTTTAAAATGACCACCCACATGCTGCTTATCATTGTTAAGGGAGGAAAACCCTATGAATTAGGGCAGTATCTTGACCAAATGACCAAAATTAGTCTCTTCGAGGAAGAATGAATAGATGATGTGTGCCCGCCAATATATAACCTTAACCTGATAATGAGGAAAATATTAGACAAACACATAATGAGGGATGTTCTATTAAAGGGGAGTATATTCTTCAGAAATGTCAACAAAGGAAGGCTGTAGAAATATTCCAGATTAAAGAAGGCTAGAGAAACATGACAACATAATACTAACTCTAGACTGAATTCTGTACTAAAGGGACAAAATGCTAGAAAGGAATTTAGTGGATCGACTGACAACACTGGGAAATGCTGTCAGATGGAAGTACTGCACCACTGTAAATTTAAGAACCTGATAAATAGGCTGTAGTTACGTAAAAAAAATCTCCATCCTTAGAAAATACATACTGAGGCATTTAGGGATAAAAGGCCACAGGGCTATGTATCTTACCCTCAAAGTGGTTCAGAGAAACAAAAAGCTTGCGTGCACGCAAATAATGAAACAGAAAAGGTAAAATATTAACACTAAATGTTCTATCTTTATTTTTGTAAGTTTTCATAAACTTGAAATTATTTCCAAATATCAAGTTTTTAAAGGGGGAGAGGGCTGACAGATTAAGAGACAATTACTGTTCTGGATCTAAGAAAGAAAGTCTTTCCCTGCACTGCATCTAGACCTACCACCCCTCACTCTCTAACTAAACACCTGTATACTTTCTCCATGAAACTTATAAATAATATTACACAAAACTCTATCATCTATCTCTTCCCCAAAGTGCTTTTATAAGAAAATTATTAACACTTAGAAGCACTTACTATGTTCCAGGCAGCGCTCTTAAGCTCTTTTCAAATATTAAGTTATTTAATCATCATAGTAACCCTATGAGACAGATACTACAATTAACCTCATTTTACAGGTGTGGAACTAAAGCGCACAGAAGTTAAGTAACTTGCCCAAGGCCACAGAGCTAGTTCAGTAGTAAAGCCAGAATTCAAAAGTAGGCAAAAGGCTCTTAAATACCACAGCCCCATGTGAGCCCCCTCAGAGTAAAACTTCTGTTCACTGTTATATCCCCAGCATAATGCTGGTCTGTACATAAAAGGACTCAATTAGCCCACTGTAACAACCAATGAATACCTAGGTAACACTCTACCTAAAACTCCCTTGCAAATAGCACACTTAGAATCTTATAAAAATTATTTTTAGTATAGTCAATTTATTGAATACATATCATGGTCTTCCCAGTAGCTACTACAAATCTCTGCATTATACATGAAACCTACATTTCTGTCCTCAAGAGAGGACTAACAATTATGTTCTTCATGTAGTACTAATTCTTCCAGGCCCTCCTCACCAGGCTCTTTCAATTTTCCTACATTTTTCAACCATTTGCTTACAATTACGTTTCAAACCTTCTTTAAATTTTCCATATCCTAGTTCAATTCTGACACCAAAATTACCCTAATAAAGAACCAATCTGCCTTCTAGGTTGTAAACAAGTTCAAAACTACTACAGTAGGTATATTTATCCAAATTTATAAATGATCCTACAATCTAAAGGCTGGAAAACATGAGTTAAAAACAAGTCATCACAAAAGGAAAGATGGATTGCATCAAAATATTCAGGTCTTTCTCAGATTATATACACCCTCAAAAGACAGAGGGCCAGTATTACTGAAGGAAAATTTTAACCTTTAGGGCAGAAAAAAATTTAACCACCAAGGAAAAACATTCTGTTACAGCCTTAAGTTAATGATGTACCCTAATCATTATAGCAGATTTCCTTTCTGCCTTGCCTATTCTTTTCCAAAATAATCTACAGTATTTCTTTCTTTGTAATTTCATGCTTCCTGGTCATAGATCCTAAGCATTTAGGATCTAGAATCACAAAAAAGTCCTATCAGGTTCTGCCTTTTGTTGTTAGGCTGATTACATAATTTCTGAGTCTGACTTTCCCCAGAAGTAAATGAATTAGGAATAAAATAAAAGGTACCTTGTATTTCCGTTCAATGGAAAAATCTTAGTGATATATTTAGGATAGTACCTGGTATACAATAAACTACTTTAACTATCATTACTTCATTCCCCCACAAAACCTAGCAGTGTTTACCTGTAAAAGGCACTTCATTAATTTGACTAGATAGCTTTCAAAAGTTCACCACTAAAATGGCGTCAAAATTCACATGATTTCCTCCTTCAACAGCCTTAAGTTGCCATTTTCTAATGTCAGTTATGTGTAGAATACATCTGAGCTTTTTATATACATTGCTTCATCACAACTCACCGGAACCTGCAGTGAGAATTAAATAAGCTAATAAAGTACTTCAAACAGCATCTAGCACATAAGTGCTATGAAGTATTAGCTATTATTACTGTTCCTACAACATCACTACGGTAATACTACTACTATGTATTAATGGTATTAACATTAGTAATAGTGTTAACTATTATTACTATAATTACTTACTATCAAGCTCCATATAATCTGGTCCTTGTTAACCTCTCTACAAACTCTAGTCTCTCTAATCATCAAATACTTTAAAAGTTCATTACTTTGAAGTCTCTGCATTTGTTCCTTTTGCCTGGCCTGGTCTTCCCCAGATCTTTACATGACTGGCTCCTCTCATTACTCAGCCTCAGCTCAAATGTCATCTCTAACTGCTTCCCTACCTCTAACCTCTCCCAGATCCTCTCTGGCTCATTATCCAATTTTAGTTTTCAGTTATGATAAATGCTATGAAGAAATCTATTATTTGTTTACTTTTGTATTAGCTTTATCGGCTAGTATACAGTTCCCTTTAGTATACAGAGGCCAGTGCATTGTATTATTAACAATGAAGTTCCTAGCTACAGTTATATGGGCATGATCTATATACTCTTTTAATGCTCACAACAACCCAATAAGATAAATTTGGCAACATTTTTTACAAAGGAATCTACCGAATAGAAAAATAACTTGCTTAAGGCAGCCAATCAGTGGCAACACCAGATGTATTCTTACTCTCATTTTTTAGGTGAGAAAATTTAGATTGCCAGTACCTTATCATAAGTATTAACAGGCAAATAAAGAGCCTATATACAGGATGTATACAAAAAAACTTTAAAAGTTACTTTAATGACCTTCAACAATAAAGGGATGAATGGCATTTGCACTCGCTGAATTTTGTATCTAATGTAAGTGATCTGCACCTATTACCACTTACAATCTTGTTGAAAAGCAAAGGTCTACTTGCATGAACAACCAAAATATTTCCTAAGAACACCTAAAACATAACATTATTTTTCTAAAAGTACTCTATCCCCTATCCAGATATACAGTCTTCCCAATGGTGAAGATATTATTGCTGGAAGTACAAGAATGAAAAGATGCTAGCTATATGGGAGACAACTCATATAAACAAACTACCAACTACTCAGTGAGTGACCCTGTGTAAGTCACTTCATTCACACTTATAGACTCATTTCATCATTTCCTTTAGTTTAGAATTTAGATCAACCTTAATTAGGCTAGAAGCACCTTCAAGACAAAGGCCTTTTTTGGTCTGGAAGGGCTCTACTGCCAGCACCTAGGTCTGTAATCGTCACACAGCACACAATAAATGTTGACCCAGTAAGTGACCCATCTCAAAACCTATCTTCATTTATTTACCATGTGTCTAAGGAACACATTTGCCAGGCACTATGATAGAGACACCATCAAATACATTCAGGATGCAAATACAAAACTAAGCCCCAATTTCTGCCATCAAAGTGGCCACACAAAGAGCTAATTTCGCATAAATCATGAGAAATGTTAAAGTAAAGGTCTATACAATATATTCTGCAAACAACTTCCAACCCAAGAAACTAAGGTACGTTTGTAAGAGAGCAAATTAATTTGCAAATTAAGCCATATTTAAATCAGTTTAAGAACCATGTCTAGACTATTAATAAAGTCTAAAAGACTTATTCTGTTGTAAAACTGAAGATACGCTCTAAAACACAAAATAATGTTCCCTAATAAACCCATTTGAGACTAGCTAAGTAACCTCTCTTTAAGATCACAATCAAAAATAAACTTTCCATCAGTAATACTGAAAGACCCTGACAATGCACTTTGGTCACTCATTACTGAAACGTACATATGAAATACATCTCTAAAATAAGACAAAATTTTAATCCTGATGAACTAAGGATTCGTGTATGTGACAATTCAGAATCTGAAAGACATTTTCTTCTAAAATCTCAAATAATAATTCCCATATACAATTCCATCTACACTGTGTATTACAAAGTCCTCATAACCTACACTGCTTTTTCATTTTTGAATGCTGACAACAGCACAACTCGGAAATGAGAGCTGTTCATCTGAAATGACATTTCTCTCATCCACAACAAAAATGTACCAAATATAAAGAAACAACTATCTCTTTTTTACTCGAAAACCATGACACATATACATACACACTCCCAGGTCACTCTTTCTTTACGAAATTTTAATTACAAATTCCATGGAGGTTCTACAGGAAGAAAGGTCACGCTCTCTTTAGGCCAACGGCGTGGGTAGTGGACAACGAGAATACCGATCAAAATCGCAGGCTCTGAAGGGTTCAAGCCACTTCCTGGAGCCAGAACTCCACCCGTGCAACCTTGTTCTACAGACTCAACCTTTACAAGGCTCAGTTTCCTCACCTATAAGATGGACGATTAACTTAAATGAAGATGCCTCTGGTGTATGGCCTGCAAAATAAGAAGAGCCAACTACTCCAGGGGGTGGTTGAATAGACAACTCCAAGTGAAAAGCTCTTGCTGGCACCTAGTAAGCCCCTAACGAACACTTACTGCTATTGTTATTGCACGTACCTGCAGAATAAGCAGGAATAAAGAGATGAGAGGGAAAAAAGCCACACAAAGTTAAGAAAGGCAAGAGATGTGGAGGACAAGATTAAAAAGGGCAAATGTGGAGACTCCAAATAGCCGCGGAGGGCGTGGAGAAGACTAAGCCAGAAGTGGAGCGGGGGCCGAGAAAGTTAATTGCAGAGTGAAGGGGCGCACAAGAGGAAAACCGGGCCCGCGGCGGAGCGTAGCCGGGAGGAAGGCTGAGGTCCGCCGAGGCAGAGGCGGCACGCGGCACGCGGCTAAGGCGGCGCCCCAAGGCGGGAGTGCCGGGCCCCGCCGGCGGGCCGCAAGGGGCGGCGAGGCCCCGCCAAACCCGCGGGGAGAGCCCGGAGAACACGCTGGAGGCCGCGGCCCAGCCCCGGCCCGACTCTCTCATTCAAGCCACCTTCCCCTTCCCCCTTCTCAAACCCCATGCGGTCCTGACCCAGAGCTACCACAGCTCCGCGGCCCACCGTCCACCCCGAATCTCTCCGCACTGCAGGCCTAGCCCCTGGGACTCCAGCGAGCCAAGATGTGAAGGAGGGCAGCGCCCCTTACCTGAGCTCCCCCGGATTGAATCGCTCACCGTCCCCCCCGTCCCCGCCACGCTCCGCCATTACAGAGGGCCGCGTTCCTCCACCCGCCGACCCGACGTCCCCTATTGGACGGAAAATTCGTCCGTCTCGCACAAGGGAGGCGGAGATAGTGAAGCTCTATGATGTGATTGGTTAAACTTTCCATCAATCCGTGAGTTGGAGGCGGTATCTGCTTTACTATTGGGAAAAGGGCCCGCCGACTTTGAAAGCGGTATGGAGACAGCCAGTTGATTGGTCGCTCGGAGGCTTTATGGGAAATGAGACTTTGGCAACTAGGAACCGCCGGCGCCCTCTCGCGGTAAGAATAACTAAGTCCTCCTGCGTTCGGTGCAGTCTGCAATGGCCACGTGTCCGGCGGCTTCCGAGGAGCCAATTCTGGAGCCATACTAGCCAGTAGTAGGTCAGACCGACACCGTTTCCACTGGATGAGCCAATCAAAACCGACCTGGGTCGCGCCTAAACCAATCGTAGAGTTGCTGTAGAAAGGAACTGTTTCCCAGCTTTACAGTAACTGGAGTCTTAAGTCACCACAGAGATAGATAGATAGGTAGGTAGAAATATACATACATATAAATAATATTAATATATAATATAAATAATATATTATTAATTACAAGGATGCCTCCCAAATTAAACTAAGTAATTAGTGTCAGGCTGTGGGTGTTGTAAGTGTTGCATTTAGGGAGGTAAATTGGAGAAGGCAAGCTTTTTCGCCATGTACAACTTTAGCATATCCTTCAATCTCAGAGTGTCTAAAATTAGCACACCTTGGTACCCAGACAATTCTGAAAATTTACTTTTTTTAAAAAATTAGATATTAAGAAAAACTTTGGGCTCTGGGCAGCACCTGGGTGCCAGCCCCATTTGCCAGAGGTGGTGGATTCAAACCCAGCCCTAGCCAAAAATAAAAAACTTTGGGCTCTAGAGTTTCAAGGGCAAAATGTAGATGAATTGTATCATTAAAAGTGCTCAAAATATTAAAATAATGCTAATAGATAAATTTTCCTCAGACCTAATTATATATACCAGTCACTGTTCTAATTACTTCCCCTGTATTATCTCTTTTAAGCTTCAAAAAACACTAAAATGGGTAATATACATAATCAAAGTTTGTAAATCAGATTAAGGCATAGAGAAGTAACTTGGCCAAGGTCACATAGCTAAGCAATGGCAGAGCTTGGCCTTAAACACAAGACAGTGTGGTCGCAAAGTCCCATTCTTAAAGTAAATGAACACACAAAACCATGTACACAAATGTTCACTGGCAGCATTATTCGTAATAGCCAAGTGGGAATAACCCAATGTCTATCAGCTGATGAATGATTAGAAAATGTGGCATAACCATACAGTGAAATATTATTCAGCCATACGAAAAGAATAGAATACTGATATGTGCTACAACATGGATGAACCTTGAAAACATTAATCCTAAGTGAGAGAGGACAGACACAAAAGGCCACATATTGTATGATCCCATTTATATGAAATGTCCAGAATAGGAAAATTCATACAGACAGAAAGCAGAGGAGTGATTTCCAGGGAGTAGAGGGGAGTGAGGAACTGGAAGTGACCTGCTAATGGGTATAGAGTTTCTTTTTGGATGATGAAAATGTTTTGGAATTAGATAATAGTGATGGCTACAAAACTTTGTGAATATACTAAAACCCACTGAATTGTATAAAGGGCGATTTTTATTGCATGTAGAATTCATTTTTTTTTTTTTGAGACCGAGTCTCACTATGTCGCTCTCAGTAGAGTGCCATGGTGTCACAGCTCACAGTAACCTCAAACTCTTAGGCTTAAGCAAGTCTCTTGCCTCGGCCTCTCAAGTAGCTGGGGCTACAGGCCACTCGCCACAATACCCAGCTATTTTTTTTGTTGCAGCTGTCATTGTTGTTTAGCAGGCCTGGGAGGGTTGGAACCCTCCAGCCTCGGTGTATGTGGCCAGCACCCTAACCATTGAGCTATGGGAGCTGCGCCTATGGATTCTATTTTAACAACAGCAACAAAAAAACCACTATGCTATACTGAAACCCATTTAAATATTCAAAATCAATTAAATGTGGTAAATTGTGATGAGGGGTGAACACAGAGTTCTAAGCATGATTAATTAGAGCAGGGAAGGATGGTGAAAAATCCATTAAAGATGTGACATTTGAGCAAACTATAGTCTGACTAAAAGGGGAGGGAAGTGTTAGTTTGGTTTTTTGTTGTTTTTTTTTTCCCAACATCAACATGCATCCCCAAGTTCAATACTATTATATTATGGATCATTCATTACAAATTAATTCCTACTGGAAAAAAAAACCCCAAAATAAATACCTTATAGAAAGTGAGTCACTGGCATATATAAAAGATAAAAACAGTCAATCTGAAGAAACTCCTTACATGTATACTGAAAGTTTTGTTATCTGATGATTTTTATTATGTTACTTAAATCAAAATATACTTTAATATTTTCATTTTATTATCTTATTTTTATTTATTTATTTTTTTGAAACAGAGTCTCACTTTGTTGCCCTGGGTAGTGTGCTATGGCATCACAGCTCACTGCATCCTCAAATTCCTGGGCTCAAGTGATTCCTTTGCCTCAGCCTCACGATTAGCTGGGACTACTGGCACCCACCACAACACCTGGATATTTTTAGAGACGAGGTCTTGCTCTGGCTCAGGCGGGTCTCCAACCCATGGAGCCATACTGGTCAATGCAATTGCATACAGGCAATCCACCTGCCTCGGCCTCCCAGAGTTCTGGGATTACAAGAGTGAGCCACCTTGCCCGGCCGATTACCTTATTATAAAATAAATGAAGTCTATGTACTTAATGGATATGTATATGATAGTCATATGTATTTGCTTCATTACTTCATTGCTATATTTTATTCCCATAAACAGGCCCTTACAATTCAGGTAGTTTGTGCTCAATAGTTGTGTAAAACACTGCAAATATCTGACCTGAGCTATGTCTACACACCTACTCTACAGTGAACCATTTCATTGAATCAAATGGGAAGAAAAAAATAAGGAGTATGAACCTTTTAAGAGACCAGATGGGGCGGCTCCTATTGCTCAGTGAATAGGGCGCTGGCCCCATATACCAATGGCGGCAGGTTCAAACACAGCCCTGGCCAAACTGCAAAAAATAGCCAGGTGTTGTGGCAGGCGCCTATAGTCCCAGCTACTCAGGAGGCTGAGGCAAGAGAATCACCTAAGCCCAAGAGCTAGAGGTTGCCATGAGCTGTGACGCCATAGCACTCTACCAAGGGCAACAAGGTGAGAATCTGTCTTTTAAAAAAAAAGACAAGATGGACTTTCCTATAGTCAAAGCTTGATAAGTCTTAGGATACTGATAATGTACCTAGCTGTACAGAATAGCAAATAATACCATTGCTCAATTGGCAACAAGTGAATTATAGACCACCAAAATTAGCAGGTCAAGGTGAAATGAAGAGAGTGTTGGCTTAAACAAATTAATATTACTATTATTATGAGGGCTTAAGTCTTGCTCAGAAGTAACTCTTGAGAAGTCATTCCAGTGCAGTAGTTCTGAGGCTTCTTAAAAAATAACGGCCAAAAAAAAAGTGCCATTTTAGACACTATCTTAAACCCATGGTAAGTACTTTGCACTCATGATTTCTAATCTTTTCAGCAGCATTGCAAGGCAGATGTATTGTCCTCATTTTACAAATGGGAACACTGAGGCTCAGGGTGATTTTAGGACTGGTTCAAGGTGACCTAACCTCACATCAAAACCAATTGGAGACTCCTAAATCCTGAGTCTCACCCGAATCAGAAAATTAGCACAGCTAACATATCATTTCTTCTTCTTTCCTAGACCATAAATATTTTAGAGAAACTATTTTCCTCACTAAATCTGCAGTTCCTAACAAGATGTTTATTCACTCATAAGGCCAGCACTGTCTATTGGGCTTTGAATCATTCAGAGAGATCTCAGAAATGGAGAGACTGGATCTGGACTGGATCCACAGGTTTTGGTGTAATTGAGATTAGGATTCTAGTCCTGGCTCTACCAACTACTTGCTGTATAATCTTGGTCAAGTTACTTTACTTCTCATAGCTTCAAATTCTTTATTCAGAGAACATCGAGTTGCTGTAGTTTTCATAAGCAAACTATTTACTGTGGTATGGGCAGCAACTAAAAATTATCAATAAGTAATATGGGTTCACAGGGCTAATTTGGGGCTGCTATGAATGTTTATGTCCTCCCCCCAAAATTCATATGTTGAAATTCTTAGTCCCAAGGTGATAGCATTAGAGGGTGGGAGCTTCGGGAGATGACAGGTCATGAGGACTGAACCCTCATATATAGGTGTAATACCCTTAAACCAGAGCATCGGCCAGCTGCAGCAGGCAGCTTGGCAGCTCATCCTCAAGGAATCACCACCATCTTCGGCTACTCTGGAAACCTTGTTTTCTGCTGTCTGCACTTGAGTATGCTACACAGTGTCCTGTGGTCACCCAAGAGCTTCTTTGAGTGAACCCCCAGTAGGAACCTGGATGATAACGAACCTCCTTTGTAGCTGAGGTAACTCAGCACGTAAGCAAAGCCCTGTATCTAGAATGAAAATTCCATGGAACCCACCTGCAGTGGAATCAGGAATTGCTGCTTGCCCTCCTCTGGATCAGGGGAGCCCTTGAGGAGCAGGCTTAAGTTTGGCCTCTGAGAAATAGTTTATGAGAGACCCTCCCACCCTGAGGTAACTACTAGGTTGCCCCTTCTACCATAGCTAGGGAAGGGTAAAAGTGACCATGGGAAGTATGCTACAGAGGGAGTGGCCTGGGGAAAAAATGGCAAAATATGTTCTGTCTCCCCAACATTTGGGGAACGGAATCCATGCCTCAGGCCAGTGGTCAGGAGGGGCGGGAATGCCTCTTGTTCTTTGTGCCACAGGAGACAGCTCAAGCGAATCATCTGGGCAGAAGTCACGAGATCCTTTTAGCTAAAGATGGGATGAATCTGGGCGGAAGCCAAAAGACTGTCTTGGCCCAACAGTGGATTATGGGATCAGAACCTTTATAAGCTCTGGGCCTGTG